ACTGATCCCTATATACCTTCACTGGCTCAAGCAGCTTTAGACAGTGATCCACCGTTTCATTGGTTTCGTTCTGGGAAATCAGAGTGAGATCTTCAATAACGCGGCATTCAACCAGGTTTAGCAGCCGCGGCAGGCAGAGTCTGTTGGCCAACTCCAGCAGATTGAGGCACTTAACGGCCGATATTGGCGGAATCTGGTCAGTGTACAGGTAGCACAGCAGCTTGTGGAATGTGTAAATTGTAACGCCAGGGAATACGATCTGAGGTAAAGCAAATTTGTGTTAGCTATTTTTAGTTTTAGGGTGTTAAAAGTATTCCTACCACATTGGAATGCGCCTCGCGAAAGTCGCCCAACAACATTGCGCGCATGACATCACAACGACCAACTAGCACAGCGCGGTGTGCCTGCAATGCAGTAAGGGTAAGTTTGAAATGTTTATAGTAATTCAAGGGACAAACCTTCATTAAACCATCGTCCAATTCAAAAGTGACATCACTGAAGCACCCGTCACCAATGCAATGCCGTTCCATGCTTTCTTTGATGCGCTAATGTAAAGGAAATAAAATGTTTAGGTCCAGAGGTATATATAAAGGACATCAGAGCATCAATGCGCTTACAAGGCAAATGTGCGGATTTGGCTCATCGCTGGAGTTCTCCATAACGGTTTGAGGCCTGGAAAGTAGCTGAGTCAGTTGCGGCAGTTCTAATAGATCGGCAGCTTCTCTAATTTCCTGTGAGCATAAACAAATATTGATAGGTTAAGTTCTCATAAACATAGCACTAAATATATTGAAACATTATCCTACCTCCAGATTATTGCAATCCTTGTCAACGGTGCCGGTATAAATAAATCTCAGGCACTGATGCAGAGCTTGCGGAGAGATAAGTTTGCTAAGGGTGACAATTGTCTGCAGACCATTTACACCCCGATGATTTTCTACGTGCACCAAGCGAATGCTCTGCAGAACCGGATGATGTAGCTCCCTGTACAAGTCGTTGGACCGCCTAGACTCCATGAGAGGTAACGCTTGATAACTGGAGCGGCGCTTCAAATGTTCCCACATTCTGGTGAAGAAAAATGTCAATAGGTTCACTGAGCTTAGGAGGCAACACCCACCGTTGTGTGCGTGATTCGTAGCGGATCAGGGACTCTGTGTCGTCGTTGAAGTCCGCAATGGTGGCCTCCCCGAATGTTGAGCTGACCATGCTAGATTCGCTGCTGCTCCGCCCGCCCATATCAGTCAGCTCAGTGCTAAGCAGGCGCTGGAAGATGCTGGACGCGGCGGCTAGCATGAACCTGTGCACGGCGAACTTGGTGCCACCCGCCCCGACCAGGACGAGGTCGGTGTAGGCCTGCGACAGGAACATGTTGTAGATGTCCTGCCGATAGTTGCCGACCATGACGGTGACCTCCGGTGGTGGTGGCTTCGGTGGCCGGAACGGCGCCTGCAGCAAGGGCTTCTGTACCTTCTTCAGGTTTGTCATCCAGAATCGCTGCTGTCGACGTGCAATCAACGCGGACCGGATGGCATTTTCAAACACCTCATTCACCCCAAAGTAGGTGAAAACACTGGTTTCGTAGTAGGCCACCCCTAGCTCTTTGGCGACGGCACGCGCCTCATCCGGCATAACCAGGTCACTCTTCAATGCGGCTCTTTAAACGGATTATAGTAATGATTGTTTTTAATTAAGTGCAATTAAATAGAACTCCTCTCAACATCTTAACAAATGAATTTGAATTATATAGTGTGTTATAAATATAATCTAAATATAGATTGCTACCCAGTGAATAATTGAATTGATTAAAGAACCCGCACGGGTTTTAATTTAAAACTGAAAGCTGCACAAAACTGCCTGAAACCTGTTAGCATATGCATACCGAACAAAGGTTCCCTTCTCGCCGAAATACGAAAGATAGTTCTCGTCGCGATACATGTAGCGCAGGTCGTTCTTGCAGCCAACTAGAATGACGGGAACATCCGGACAAAAGCGGCGAATTTCCGGATACCACATCATCTTGCAGTTGCGCAGGGAAATCGGACTGGCAATGGAAAAGCACAGCAGCACCACATCGGATCTGTAGGTCAAGAAAATATCTAATTGATTCGAATAGTGAGTGCTGCTATGATTACAAACCTGCCGTATGCGAAACGCCGATCCTTGTCGTGGTCACCAAATGTGTCCCATAGGCGAAGTGAGACATTCACTCCATCCACCACCTCCCAAGATCGCTCGAGCACCTTTAATATTTTGAGACTCGAATAAATTCGATAATTAGGATTGTTAGAGAATGGTAACCCACATCCTTGTATATGCGATACTGGTCGATGGCCCACACGGTCGGCACGTGTGTGGAGAGGAGCTGGGATAGCGAGACGTGCTTGTTGCAGGCCCTTGCGCAGATCAGTCGGGTCTTGCCCACCGCCGTGTCCCCTACCAGGACGCACTTCACCAACTCTTGATGCGGCTGCTCGTTGTCCATTTTGGGCGTGTACAAATAGCAGAACAAACTTGTGGAATCTGAAATGAAAGGAATGTTGGATGTTTTTGTGATTTAATCAGGATTTCGTCAATTTGGATGTACATATGTTCTGGTGAGGAAAACAGTGTCTTAATATAAATATTTAAGCTACGTAGAACTGCTCCCCTTATTTTTTCGAGATCTGACAAGGTCTATCGCTGATGCTAAATTCTCGACTAACAATCGACATGCTAATTACTAAGTTACACAAAATATCGTCTGCATTAACGCTTTGCGTTTAGGCAAAATTGTTCTATCTCGTGATTAATTTGATTTGGATCTACATTATTAAGTGCTTCCTAAAATATAAATAATTTGTAATATTCTGCGCACTTAGAAAATTCACTTTCACGATCACTTTGAATATCAAGAATAACTGATCTACGTCAATAAACTATTTTGTATGTCTACTCGCTGGACTCGGTGAAAACTCAAATTACTATCGAGAAATCGGATATCTGCGATTCAAATACACGTGTATCTATGGGAGCTTCGGAACATTTACCGAGAAATCTATTGGATTTCGCAATCGGCGTCTATCAAACGCCAACCAATTCATTGACCCCCGATGCACTTGTCGTGGAGGAAGTTGAAGCCAGTACCTCGGATACGGAGCGATAAGCTCTCTTGGTCTCTAATTGAACCTAATTGGGGCTGCACTAAAAATATCTGCCATCAATCCTCCAGTCGCAATGAGCACGCTTCTTCCTGCGTGGCCCACGCTCCATGGCAATCCATTGTCCGATCTTCTCGACGAGCTGCAGTCTATTTTGGGACGCGCTACCAAAACAATAACCATGCAATTGAAGGCACTTTAAGCGGTCGCCCGAAGCGATCGTTATTCTCTACAGGAAAGTCTTTTGTTCGTTCGAAGACTTTAGGTTGCTGTCAATATTAGGGATCGTTGACCTCAGGATTACATAGCAATTGGTTGCACTTTCGCTTCGATTTTTTATAATGAATCTCTTTAGTAGAGCAGAGACCTTGAAATCATATTACGGATTTAATTATTTATTGTTGGTCTTAAACAAAGTAAAGCAAAAACAATGAAATATGTTTTGAATGAGAACAACTGGTAGTTCTTGGAGATCTCAGGTATATTGGAAGATTAAATATGCAGAAGGTAAAGTCGTTTGGAAATATAGGTTCAAGTGGCTGGCATCTGTACCATAAAACATAACCGATTTTTGCCATTTGTTAGAGATAAGCAGGTTTCTCAGTTTTAAGTTTTCATTCTAAAATATTTCCACAAACAATAGTCTTTTAATACCCATCTTAGCCCACAAAAATCCAATTTATTTAGCGACGGGTGCCAAGTTGTTTTCATGCGAGGTGTGAACCATTGGGGTAATTAGGCGGTTTGATTCGCGAGAACTTGCAGAGCACGCCAGCATATTAGCATTATTAACGAATTTTGGTTGCTTTGCCATGTCTGGGAAGTCTCCTTTCTTCAATTTTGCCAGCTTATTGATTTTCTCGTGCCATTGCAAAACGGTCACAAATACCGTTACCAAACGGACACATTCACACTCGCACACAGGAGGCACAGGGACTTTTAAGAGGGGATCTTGAAGTTCCCACACGCCATTCCGGTAAACTTGGCCCATTTTGGGGCCCAGAGAACGAGAGGAAAAATCGTTGAACACTTGCGCTTTTTGGCGAAGAAAACTCAAGTTAGTGGGTAAACATTTTGATTAGAACCTAATTGGACTGCTGGGCGAAGGGGAAACACAGAATTCACGAAATCATGAATCTCCGCGGACGTAGCACTGCAGCACTCACCTCTGAAAACGGCTAATCCCACGGTTTGCACGGATTTGCCTCAATGTTCTTACTTTTGCGTATTGCACTTATCAACACGCACACCAAAGCACGGCATTTTACAACAATTTGCATTTATTTCTGCACCCACACACCGATGGCGACGCAGTTTATGGTTCGCAACACGCGCAATATTTTCGGCTGGCACAACTTTGGCATCGCTGCGAGCTGGTTGCCGACGGCGGCGGATAAAAACTGCTCGCTGGTCAGGCGCACTATCAATGAAATTAAAAAATAATAAAATGCAGTTACAGCCCGCAATTCTTCTACGCGCTTTGACGGTAGCCGGCCAGTGTTGGAGCACGGCGGCGGATGGTTGCACAGCGTTGCCAGATTGCCGGAGCACGAGAATTCACGGAAATTTATTTTTATAATGATAATTTTCAGGGTTGCCCTATTTTTATTATATGGTCATAAGAAAATTCCAAACAGGTAATTTACATTTTGAAATTGCCATCTATTCTAGATTCAACAATCTATCCTTATATTAGTCTAAAATAACAATTAGGAGTATTATTAAAATAACTTCAAATCTTCATCTAAAACCTTTTAGATTTTCCACATTTGAAAATAATGCTAACTGATGTGCATTTTTTAAAATTGATTCCATTCTCCAATCTGGAACCACTTATAAAATAAACGATCTGGCAACGCATTGAACTAGTTCTGCCTGCGCGGTGCGTTGGCAACCCTGCGAACAGATGATTATTTGCTATTTTAGTTGTTGCGAAACTAGTTAGAATTTATTTTTCGGGACAAAAGTAATTAAATTGATTGAACACGAGAGCGGTTAGCTACTCCGCCCACTCTCGAAATTCTTAACGTACGGACGCCACGTAAAGTCGGAGTTGCGTCGTTATAAGTAGTTCTCAAACTCAATGTATCTTACGTGCAGAAAATCGATTTTTGGCTTAACAGCGGTTTTTGGTCGACGGTTGGCAGCAATAAATGAAATTTCCGCCAGCGGACACCACTAAATCGCAATTATTTCGCACAGGTCAAGTGCGTTGAGGGCCAGCATTTCAGTAACACATCGATCGATTGGAACACTTGGCAAACCCAAGATGACAATAGCTGAGAGCTCACAAAAGTCCGCAACCAGGAAGCCAGACAGCATGGAGCCCATTTTGAGGTAATTGCGAGTTATACATCTTAGAGGTCGTCTGAGGCAATAATTCATCGTTTATAGGCTGAACAACATTGAAAAGTCGCTGCAGGACACACGCGACTATCGGGGATTGCAGCTGGAAAATGGACTGAAGGTCCTGCTTATCAGCGATCCCAACACAGAATTCTCAGCGGCAGCTCTGTCCGTGCAAGTGGGGTAAATAAGATCAAATCGTCACTCAATGTTTGCCTTTAATGACTATACCCATGGCAGCCACATGTCGGATCCCACGAATCTGCCTGGATTGGCCCACTTTTGCGAGCACATGCTGTTCCTGGGCACTGAGAAGTATCCCCATGAGAATGGCTACACCACTTACCTTTCGCAGAGCGGAGGAAGCAGCAACGCCGCCACCTTTCCCCTGATGACTAAGTACCACTTTCATGTGGCGCCGGACAAGTTGGATGGAGCTTTAGATCGTTTCGCGCAGTTCTTCATAGCCCCCTTGTTCACGCCCAGCGCCACAGAGCGGGAAATCAATGCGGTATATAATCTCATAAGATAAATTGATTACAAAAATAAGCCGATGCCATTGCAGGTTAACTCTGAGCACGAGAAGAACCTGCCCAGCGATCTGTGGCGTATCAAGCAGGTGAACCGGCACCTGGCCAAGCCGGATCATGCCTACAGCAAGTTCGGCAGCGGCAACAAGACCACCCTTTCCGAAATACCCAAATCCATGAACATAGATGTGCGGGATGAGCTGCTTAAGTTCCACAAGCAGTGGTACTCCGCCAACATAATGTGTCTGGCTGTCATAGGAAAAGGTTTGTTATCATTATATTATTATTCTGTCGTTTCTGCTAGTAACTAATCAATCCTTGACAGAATCATTGGACCAACTGGAGGTTATGGTATTGGATAAATTCTCCGAAATCGAGAACAAAAACGTCGAGGTTCCAGATTGGCCACGCCACCCCTACGCCGAGGAGCGCTATGGACAAAAGGTGAAAATAGTGCCTATCAAAGACATCCGATCGCTGACGATAAGCTTTACCACAGACGATTTGACACAGTTCTACAAGTCGGGCGTAAGTTCTATGTACCACTGCGATGTGGCTACGGATCAATCAGAGGAATGCCAAAAAGTTCCTCCATAGCCAGCCCACCTAACCTCTTTTATTATAGCCTGATAACTATCTGACGCACCTCATCGGTCACGAGGGCAAGGGCAGCATTTTATCCGAGCTGAGGCGTCTGGGCTGGTGCAATGAGTAAGTTCATCAAGACTTTCGGTTGCATATTCTATTCATATGCATATTTCTATTCTTTTTCCAGCCTTATGGCCGGGCATCAGAACACGCAAAACGGCTTTGGATTCTTCGACATTGTCGTCGACTTGACGCAGGAGGGGTTGGAGCACGTGGATGACATTGTCAGGATCGTGTTTCAGTACTTGGAAATGCTGCGAAAAGAGGGTCCCAAGAAGTGGATATTTGACGAGTGCGTGAAACTCAATGAAATGAGATTCCGCTTCAAGGAGAAGGAGCAGCCGGAGACTTTAGTCACACATGCCGTCTCGTCCATGCAAATTTTTCCCCTGGAGGAGGTACTTATTGCTCCATATCTGAGCAACGAATGGCGTCCAGACCTCATTCAAGGCTTATTGGATGAGCTGGTTCCCTCCAAAAGCCGAATTGTAATGGTAAGCCAGAGTTTTGAGAAGGATTGCGACCTAGCGGAGCCCTACTATAAAACCAAGTACGGCGTTATGCGCGTGGCCAAGGAAACAGTGCAAGTACGTTTAGTTGTATTACGTAGTTCCTTAAAAAAATAACCTTAAAATTTTTGCAGTGTTGGGAGAATTGTGAACTTAACGAGAACCTGAAATTGGCGCTGCCGAACAGCTTCATACCAACAAACTTTGATATTTCCGAGGTTCCAGCCGATGCACCCAAACATCCCACGATTATTATGGATACCCCCATTTTAAGGGTTTGGCATAAGCAGGACAATCAGTTCAATAAACCCAAGGCATGCATGACGTTCGACATGTCCAATCCGATTGCATATCTGGATCCCCTGAACTGTAATCTGAACCATATGATGGTGATGCTACTGAAGGATCAGCTCAACGAGTACTTGTACGATGCAGAGCTAGCCAGTTTGAAAGTTAGCGTGATGGGAAAATCGTGCGGCATCGATGTGAGAATACGTAGCTCTTCTTAACTTTCAAATTGCTAAATGCTCTATCTCTTGCAGTTCACCATTCGAGGTTTTAGTGACAAACAGGTGGTGCTGTTGGAGAAGCTGTTAGATCACCTTTTTGACTTCTCCATCGATGAGAAACGTTTTGACATCCTTAAGGAGGAATATGTACGTTCACTGAAAAACTTTAAGGCTGAGCAACCATATCAGCATTCCATATACTATTTAGCTCTGTTGTTAACTGAAAATGCGTGGGCCAATGTGGAGCTTGTAGACGCTATGGAACGTAAGATATTAGCTAGGACTATCTAGAAAATAAGTTTATCCCTAAGCACTTCTTTATAGTTGTCACGTACGATCGAGTGTTGAACTTCGCTAAGGAGTTCTTTCAGCGCCTGCACACAGAGTGCTTTATTTTTGGCAATGTGACCAAGCAGCAGGCGACGGACATCGCGGGGCGAGTTAACACCCGACTGGAGGCTACCAATGCCTCAAAGCTTCCCATTCTAGCGCGGCAAATGCTAAAGAAGCGAGAGTATAAGCTGCTTGCGGGTATGTCGAATTATTGCTATAAAATTATTGCTTTGTATACAATTATAAATTGTGTCCCACTAAAGGCGACAGCTACCTATTTGAGAAGGAGAATGAGTTCCATAAGAGCTCCTGCACACAGCTCTACTTGCAGTGCGGCGCACAAACTGATCACACAAACATAATGGTGAACCTGGTATCCCAGGTGCTCTCGGAACCTTGCTACGATTGCCTTCGCACAAAGGAGCAGCTGGGCTACATCGTGTTCAGTGGAGTGCGTAAGGTGAATGGAGCCAATGGCATACGTATCATTGTGCAGTCAGCAAAGCATCCGTCCTTTGTGGAAGATCGTATTGAAAACTTTCTGCAAACTTATTTGGTAATAACACGATTGTCTTACAATTACATTGTATTAACTAACTTCTGATATCTTCAGCAAGTAATTGAGGATATGCCATTGGATGAGTTTGAGCGGCACAAGGAGGCTTTGGCTGTGAAGAAGTTGGAAAAGCCCAAGACCATTTTCCAGCAATTCAGCCAGTTCTATGGCGAAATAGCCATGCAGACGTACCACTTTGAAAGAGAGGAGGCTGAAGTAGCAATACTGCGTAAGATCAGCAAGGCCGACTTTGTAGAATACTTCAAGGTGAGAGAATACGAGTCCTTTAAAGATTTTCATTGCCTGAAAACATCTTTCTATTTCCAGAAATTTATCGCAAAAGATGGCGATGAGCGACGCGTTCTGTCCGTACACATTGTATCCCAGCAAACCGATGACAACGCCACGACAGAAGCGGAACCCTTGGAGATCACAAACATGGAGCGTCATAAACCAATCAGCGATATTGTAACTTTCAAGTCGTGCAAGGAGCTTTACCCCATCGCTTTGCCATTCCTTGACATAAAGGCGAAGGGAGCGCGCAGCAAGCTTTAAACTGCAATAAGGATGTTGAGGTTTTTCTTAATAGCACATGGTTTTGGTCTCTCTTTGTTTTAATTGCTCGGATACAAACGTTGTTCTGTCATTCACAAATATAAAAGAATCTGAATCAACAGCGCATTCTGCTTGATGTACGAGCTACCGAGGAGCACGCTGTTCGGGATAGAGAAGCCCATGTCCAGCTTGTTCAGCACCTGTGAACTGAGGTCTTGCGTCCTTCGGTGGTTGTGACTTTGATCCAGTATGGAAATTTTGTGCTTCTGGTGGATGTCTTCGGTCCACTTAGTATTCTGGAAAATTCCGTCCATTTCTAACAAGATGTTGTTGCTTTGGCCAGGGTTAGATTTCGGGTTAAAGATGCCGTATCCTAGTTGCAGGTTCAGCAGTTCGCGATTCATGTGATGGAAAGTGCACTTTAGTTGTAAGGACTTGCCTGGAGTGGGATTATCAGAAAATAAGATATAATACGTGGCAAATCCATCCCAATTACTGATGTACCTTTAAAGCTGAATATGGGGCTACTAACAGTGGCCAATTTGGGAGCTTTGATGAGTTCTGTAACGTTCTCCAACTTCCAATAGTAAGTGAACAACTTTACATCCTGATCGGCCAGTACAGTATTGTTAAACTTATCGACTTCCGTTTCCCGAGCTCCAAGATTCGTGTTCGACTCCAAGTTCTTCAGAGTGGGATTCTTCTTGAGTCCAAGGTCTGGAGCAACTTCGTTTTCTTCTGCTTTCAAATTGGTTGCATTGGAAGGCTTTTTGGGAGGGTCTATGGGCTTGAAGATTGGCGGCACAGCGGTTGTGATTGGCCTCTTAGTCGGAGGTGGCGTGGGTAGAGATGTGGAAATGGCAGTGTTGACTTTAAGTCCGTTTGCCTTGGCTAAGTGCACCAAAATCAGTTTCATTACTCGCAGCTCTTCGTAGAGTTTGTTCTCTAGACTTCGGAAGGCCATGTTCATTTCATCTGCACATTAACAATTAACATTACCATTAACCATTAACCATTAATTAACCATTAACAATTTCAGGATCGAACTGGAAGGAGACCACTGGACCCACCTGATCCACACACTCCCTTAAGCGTTTTTGTGGTGACAGCCTCGGCAGATGCCTTTACCTCCCCAGCAGTCACAGTGCAAACAGCTTTTTGCACTTCGCTGGGCAATTTTGGAGCAGTTTCCGTATCTGAGGGATTCCCAGTGACGTTGAACAGTCCACTGCCCGATTCCTCCGCTATCACCATCACCGTGCAGAACAGAAGAAAGCACAGCATACACGTAGCTGTCATCTTATTCATCCACCTAGATGCCTCTTTTGTTGGACCACCCAAACGGAACTGTCGACGGCTTTCGCAGACTGAGTATTTGAGGAGCACCACCTTGAGCCACTCGTTCACGTGGATTTATTGCTCGGCGTGTCTCTTGACTTCTGGTGCGTGGAACTACTTTTAGAATGGGACCCTCCCACCGAACTCTAAAAATAGTGGACACTTTTGATGGCTTCTGTAGTCTGAACTATGAATGAATGAAACACATTCGCGCGATGTTTGTGTTCTTGTTGAAAAACCTATTTTTTCGCTGCCTTGCCGTACAAATACACATTTGTTTCAATTTCGGCAGAAATTCGGGTTTTGGCAGAGCTTAACACTGAGGTTTTTGAAATGGAATTTGTAAAAGTTTTTAATTATACTTTTGAATTTTAAAGTTTGGTCAGAAATTAACCAAATAAAACATCATTTGAATGCTTATGTAAAATAAATTTGTTTAACTTTCTTAGTTAAAGTTGCATTTATATTTATCGCAAGAATTCGACAGATTGAAGTTTTGATTGATATAAATTAGAAATCCCACTGTCTAAATGGTTAGTTATCCCATGGAGAAAAAGGACAATCGAAAAGCCATTTCGACTATGTTCTGGGGAACATCGGAGCGGTGACACACGTAGACTTCCTTGGCTGGCGACTGAAAGAGCCGACCAACCACCACGAAGCGACTGGCCGAGGAGGATTGGGATTGCCCGTCCGTTTTGGGCTGCGGGCTGACCTCGAGGGTCATGCCGTGCTCCTTGACCAGCGACACTGAGAGGTTACTGTGCCCGTTCGGGTTCGGATGTGCTCTCGAGGACTCCGACAGCTGCCTGCGATAGTGCTTGGATTTCTCCAGCACGGCGTGGATTATGTGACACGCCTGGCGTATCTCGGAGAGGTAGTTGGAATTCTCGGAACTGTCGCTAAATGGTGAAAACAAGGACCCATTAGCTATGTCGATGTAGACGTAGTGCAGCACGGAATTCTTCCAGCCAGCGGATATCTTGACTGGCACCACGTTGTTGATCTCCTTCCACATGGACTCCGTCATCTGGCTCTGATTGTGGCTCTCGGTCCCGAGATTTAGTCCATAGTGGAGGGGATGCTGTACGGCGAAGTTCTCCCAATCGGAACCGCTGTCCGAGTCCTCGGCAGCACCATGGATGGGCGTCAATCGCCTGCGGCAGGATTCGTCCTCGCTGGGAGTCAGACTGTGTATGGAAGACCCACCCAGGGACGAGCACAGTTGGGCCTCCTCCTCCACCGAAGGACTCAGTACGGTAAGCTTCTGCTTGAGGAACGACTCCAGTCGGTTGTTCGGCTCCTTCTCCTGATCTCTACTCTCGGTGACAGTGGCGTCCAGCACTTCTGGTCTCTTATTGGAAACGGACCAGAACATGGCTAGGGATTCTATGCCGCATTGCACCAGGTGGTCCAGGGTCTCCTGAATTTCCTCGATGTAAAAGAGCGATGGACCCACCACCGCATCCGGAGCCATGTCCGGAGCATCAAAGATCTTTAAGATCACAGCCAGGCTCAAGTGGTTCTTGGTGCAGATGGTAAGGAAATATCGCCCTGTGGCACTGGGCAGCACTATCTCCTCCCACACGTACATCTCGCGAACTTTGATTCCCGGAGCAGCCACGAGCAACTCGAAGATCCCTCGGCAGCGCAGGAATCCCTCTACGCTCACCCTCACTTCCGGTGGCAGCAGGCTGGCCACCAGGAATCCATCGTAGTACAGCGCACTTCCGTAGATGAAGAACTCGCGATGAGTGGTGAGTGGCTCATCGTTCCAGTTGCGATAATCCATGGCCTCCATTTCACTAAGAGCATCAAAGATGCGCAGCTGCGCCTCCTTGGGCAGTGGCAGGCTGCGGGATTGTCCCAGAAGCTCTTCGAAGCGAGTGTGACCTTGGCATCTGGCTACGAGCCGGGTCCTTTGGATTTCGCAAAAGTGTCGCAGGAAAAGCTTCAGTCTCGAACTATTCCCCGACTCTCCCTCCTGGTTGAAGCTCTCCAGGTCCAGGCCCGGCAGAGAGAAGCGTATGTATCCAATCAGCTCATCCGATCGCAGGCTGCACTCCGCCGCACTGCAGAGTCCTCCGGCGTAGGCGAAGAGCACTAGGAACCCATTCAGTCGTCGGTAGTTGACGTGGTATTGCACCTGGTCCACCAGGAGCCGTGAACTCAACGGCTGGGAGTGCAGTTCGCTGAGAACGGCGTGCAGGGTGAGGAAACTCCCACGCGCCTTAAATAGGAAGTTCTCGGGGATTTCCGGAAAGTAGTACAGCGAATCCTGTTGCTGCTCATGCTGATAGCACTCCGGTGGGAGTAGCAGCATAGCGAAGGGCATTCTTATGTCCACGGAACTGCCGGGACTACCGGAACTACCGAAGTTCCCCTCCGTTATTAACATCTGCTCAAACTTCTCCGTGAACATGAGAAAGTTCTCCACTTTGCACACCTGCTCCTCGTGAGTGTTTGGACTATACGCCGGATCGGTGGGAGAAACGGCACTGGCCGCACCGCAGGATTGGAAGCCTAGGCACACCTGAGTGGGCTCCACGAACTGCTGGAGCAGCTCATCCACATTGCTGGCATACAACTCTATGCCATTCAGGGATCTAAACCAATCTCCCCGTTTTATGCCGTGCTGCAGAGCACTCAGATCGTGAACGAATCCATCGACCATCAGGCATTCTGGCTGATCCGGAAAGGGCAGCACCCGGAAGCCCAGTATGGACTCCACCGCCGTGGACCGACGGCCGAAACGGAAGCGATCGGCGGCAGTGATAACCAGATCCAGTTTCTTGGGATCGGGGGCAGCCTTCTTGAACTGTGAGAATCGGAACTCTTGCGGCTCCGCCTGGGTTTCCAACTGGCTCTGGCCGTGGGACTGGTTGTGGTTCTGACTCTGATTATTGCTGTGTGGCTGGCGACGCGATGACTTTTTTCCCAGGCGCAGCGATCGGCGCATGAACTCCACCCGCCGCTCCGCCGAGACGCCAGTCTTCTCATTTCTCACATACTCCATGTAGAAGAGACTCCCGTCCGCGGCCACGTACTCCTCCCAGTTGGCCAGGTCGCTGCCATCGCTGTACGAGTGGCTCAGCGAGGAGTTCGAACTGGAGAAGGCCTCCGAGGCCAGGCTGCCCGGCGATTTGCGCATCATTAAGCGGGGATAGTTATCTGGCTGTAAGTGGCCTAGTATTCCAGCTGCAAACTCAACTTTCTTCCGCCGATGGATACCGCCTGAGCTCAGCTCTGACTATCGACTAAAAGCCGAGTTCCCAGCTCAGCACTCAAAACCAGTTTCCGATTGAGCTCTGGGTGCGACCAGCCCCCTGCCACTCCACTCAAATTCCAGCGGGAAACGAGCCACTCTCTTTCTGATCTTGTTCTCTATGAGCCAGGGGAAACTCAAAACCCACCATGAGTTGTCTATCGGTTAGGAAAAGCTGTTAGTTAGCTGCAGTAACACAATGACTACAATGTTTCCCTTTTATAAATGGTCGCATTTAAAGCCAGCTTGCTTCTAAATTTGTCCTTTTCCTTCTTCCTGCCCCATTTTCCTGATAGGTATGATATTGAATTATAAATAATAGTCATGGCACCTCCTTACAAAAATAGAGTTCCGTCTGCAAAATGCTGACTATGCAAGAAGTCGCATTGAAGCTTTATAGCAATATTGACGTGCTATTATAAGGATTGCGTTATCAGCGGAAGATAAGTGACATGTTTTCCTCAATGGGTGTCCGATGTTCACTTGTTATACTCGCAGAAGGCTGCCGCAGAAGCTATCTCCCAATAACTACTTTTACGGCTAGTACCCTGTATGATATGAAGGGAATTGATATAAATAATTGGGCATTTGTGCAGCCTGCGTTTCAGTGGCTAGCGTTTCCCATCGCCGATGGTCTGGGAATCCAAGATTTGCCAAGTGATTTGTCTTATCGGTCCTGACTATACGCCGTAATAGTCAGACAGGCTTTTCTGTCTGCGAATCCCAAGCACTTGAGTAGTATCTTACTGAATTTTTGTGCTGGCCAAAAGCGAGCCGTCACTATATGTGTTGATCCAGAGCACCGATCCCCCAAAGTACGGGCCTAATAGCCGTACTCCGACGACCACATAATTATCCGATAAGGAACCTGGCGTGGGCGTGAGGCGGGACGCTCACTGCCACCGAAAAAGCGATACGCTGATAGTCCCGGGCCATCCAGGGGAAGATATTGCCAAACCTGATAAGCCGTATCATGGCAGAATTAGCTGCACATAGGTACCGCAGCTACCAGTTATTCTGGCTGACCAATAGAGCAGGCCAGTCCTCCAGCCAGTCCACTACGGGAATCCGAGGCGAGTGCTTCGATCAGGCGCAATATAGTCGTTCGCGGGGAAAGTCGGACGACGGTTAACTATCACAAAATGTGGCTTCGATTTCGGAACAACCAGTGCAACTGAATGAGTGGCTAAAAATTGTATGGAACGCGATTATCCGGGCGATTGTGAAATCAAACAGCTGTCAAATCTAATTTATAATCCCCTTTACAAGCAATATTAGTGCGCAGTTCGGTGAACATGTCTCCCAAAAGCATATTGGACGTGATCGTATTAGCATGCCTGCTCCTCGGGAACGTAAGGGATATATCCTCCGAGTTTGCGATCCAGGATGGGCTGATAATAGAACGAGACTCAGCCACCACAACAAGTGAGGAGGCCGAAGAGGCCAGCAAGGAGAGAACTGACCTCAAGTCGCTCATGCTGAAATACGAATCGGATGATGGAAACAGTTGTCTCTTGGACATGATCAAGGACGAGGTGATATGGTGGCTGTTTCCCAACGGAACCCTCAAGGAGGGCACCACTCAACACGGTAAGCCCATCCATAAGTCCAATGGAACATCGCTGCTTAAGTTTCAGTTCGATTGGGCATTGTTAACAGCACTCAAAGTGATATATATTTGCACGCTTCCGGCAACGAGGATCGACTGCTGATGGAGCTTTTTGGTTTAGGCCAAAGCCACCAGAATCGGTAGCATTATGGAACTCCTTATCGGTAAAAGCTTTGCATACTTGTAGTTTGATGGCTCCGGCGAAGCTATTCGCTGCTATCTGGATCGTAGCGTTAATAGATTGTACACTCTAATTCTATAAGATCGGACACCTGGGTACATGGTGATTCCTTTATCATTTATAGGTCCTACCCTACAATGGGTTTTCTTATCGTACCCCAATATTTACCTATTTACAGCGCATAAAATGTATTTGGATCTATCCCATGGTAACATAAATGAGGACTCTGACCTGCTGCGGGAGGCGAAACTAACGCGGAAGTTCATGTTTTGGAGGACAGAAGTCTTTTCCGCCGCCTTCAATATGTTGACTGCAGCTCCGTTCGGGACGCTGTACTCCATGAGGGAATCCTTGAAGCTACTGTCGCTGCGCGGGAATAATTTCGCTGAACTGATTCCGGATGCCGAAGGTAAGGTTGGTCGGGATTGATATGCCATTTAGTCAGTTATGAGATCCAGAATCGCGATGGCACCCGATTTCTGATGTCCAGTTTCCGTTCGCCATTTCAGCCTTCGCTCGATATGTAAACGAGTCCCTCTCGGAGGCTGGTAACAATGTACCACAATGTGACAACACCACCGACCTGTATGATCGGGAGTGCTATCTTTACTTTAACAACAACACGAACATGGTACACTCAATCACAACCAGTAAAAACTATACGAACTATATTAAGGTCTTGAAAGATCGTTTCGATCAGCACGGACGTACATGTAAGATCTCAGCTCAAACACAATTACACGGCAAAGACATTTTCCGCAAACATCCTCATGTCACAACTAATCGCACCTTGGTATCTGTCATTAAGTGCATCATTTCCTCGTTTTATAACCAGCAAAATGTTTTCACATTACTTTTTTTTAAAACATGCACATTGTATATCATTGGAAGAAAGCGATTTATGTTATCATGGCAGATATTCTTCTTTAAGAATCCGTCTTTAGTTTTCTAACATTTTCTATTTCTATTCCCTTCCCTAGCTGAATCCATAGCCTGGGCCTCTTTCCCCAAGATGCCCCGACTTGTGGAGCTGGACATCAGCAACTGCAGCATCGAGTACGTGAGCAAGGAGGCGTTCAGGAACGTCAGCAATCTGCGCCGGCTCTTCATGTCGGACAACAAGATCATGACGATAAGCCACGACACTTTCTACCACATCCAGGGAGTGCAGTATCTCGACCTGTCATTCACCAACTTCCTGACATACAGCTACCAACTGCAGTTGCCCACTCTGGAAATGGCCTTGAGTCTGATATACGGCCTGAAGATCCAGCAGAATGTGTTTAAATATCTGCCGGAACTGATTTACCTGGACCTCTCCCACTCGAAGATGACCAGGAATAGTGCGGTGGCTTTTGCTCATCTGGGGGATAAGCTGAAGTTCCTCAGTCTGTGCTACACCGCCATTCCCATGGTGAGCAGTACCATCTTCAAGAACACGGTTCTGGAGGGTCTCGACTTATCCGGAAATCCCTACCTATCCTACAACATCATCGACGATGCCTTCGATGGCATTGCTAGCACACTAAAGTATTTGTACTTCGAGCGATCGAATATTAAGGATTTGGAGTGGTCCAAATCGTTGAAGAAGCTGCAGGTGCTGGGTCTAGCGGGCAACAACATAAACGCTCTCACTCCGGCCATGTTTCAGTCCCTGGAGTCCTTGGAGATCCTCGACTTGAGCTCAAACCATGTGGGCAACTGGTACCGCAGTGCCTTCCACAACAACTCCGCCCTGAGGGTTTTGAACCTGAGGAGCAACACCATCAATATGCTGTCCAACGAGATGCTGAAGGACTTTGAGCGCTTGGATTACCTTAGCCTGGGGGACAACGACTTCATTTGTGACTGCCATTTGAGAGCGGTGGTGGAGGTGGCGGCCACCAATAATAAAGATCCAGACTGCTCCTATAAGCTGCTAAACTATAGTCAGACTGCTATAGGTGAGGAAGTAATATCTCTGGCGGAATCGCTGATAATAGATCGCAAGCTTTGGCAGAGTCGCTATATTCCCTGGCTGCAGAGGAGTTACTCCAACATAAGGGATTTCAACCGAGCAAATCACATAATCAGGCTGCGCTTCTCCTCCGAGGATTACAAGGTAGCCAAGTGCTCCGTGGCCCAGACCTATCACTTAGAGGACGTTGACGGAGATCTTACTCTGAAATTCCAACTACTCGACTACGAGGCCAGTCAGTACTACTGCTTCAACAACACCGATCAGCTCCAGGTGGACGAGCTCAACTGCCAGATCAGATCGATGAGTGATCTCACTGAGGAGTTGCACCGCGTTACGAACACAGTGATCGTGATTATCGGCTCTATAGCTGGCGCTTGCATCCTGGGATTTATAATTTATCTGAAGCGATGGCACATCCACTACTATTACTCTTCCCTGAAGTCCGCTGCCCTGTTGTCCAGTGCCTCAAAGGAGTCGGTGGACAACTTCACACACATATCCCAGAGAGATCCCAGTGCCGTCTACGATATCTTCATCAGCTACTGCCAAAATGATCGCCCCTGGGTGCTCAATGAACTCCTGCCAAACGTGGAGGAAACTGGCGATGTGTCCATTTGTCTGCATGAAAGAGATTTTCAGGTACGCCTTACTCACTTATAACATTAACTTACTAATGAAGTACAAATCTTCAATACGTTCAGATTGGAGTAACCATCCTGGATAACATCATCTCCTGCATGGATCGCTCATATTCCCTAATGCTGATCATATCCTCCAAGTTCTTGTTAAGTCATTGGTGCCAATTTGAAATGTATTTGGCGCAGCATCGGTAAGGAAACTTTATCTTTCCTGTCAAGTTCACTATACATACCTCTGTGCACATATTGTAGCATCTTTGAGGTCAGCAAGGAGCACTTGATCCTTGTTTTCCTAGAGGATATTCCACGAAGAAAGCGACCCAAGACTTTGCAATATCTAATGGATGTGAAAACATATATAAAGTGGCCGACGGCCAAGGAGGAGCGGAAGCTGTTCTGGAAACGTTTGAGGAGATCTCTTGACCTCATAGGGATCAGTTCCAGAGAGATCAATGTTTAGAAATCATGTAATTTCAACCGAGAGTTCTAGTCAGTTGTGCAAGTACCTGATGTAGTATATAAAAACTTCATTATTCTTTGATGAAGAAGACAGTTTCCGCACAATAAAAATAGTAATAGGCAAAAATAGCTGTTTAATATAAGCATAGTGTATACAGGTTATATTAATAAATAAAGGTCTAACTATTTTTAAGAGCCGAAATATCTCGACAACGGCAATATGCGTATTTTAACCCGGATTTAACCCACAATACTTTAATGCAATTGACTGGTAAAAACAATTAAAAATGTGAAAACAGTGAAATAAAAACTTCGTTCGATAAACGTAACGAATAATCCCCAGGCATCGATAATGGGTTAAAAACTATCGATAACAACTGAAACAGCTGATATTGGCCATCCATATTTTACGCGCCAAAAACGAACAAATCTTCCACAAATTGTAAATTACTTAAGCGCGACGCACAATGGAATTTGGTCTGAAAAAACGCGCGAGACATGAGGTCAAGGTGGAGGTGGCCAGCTTGGAAACTAAGTATCCGCACAACGTCATGCTGTACCACTATCCACCGACGGAGGACGTGCACATCGACGAATTCGAGGAGCTGGCTTTGGAGCGCTTGCGACTTCTCCGCGTCTTGGATCGCGCAAGCAACCGGAACCAGCGCCTGCTCTCAGATGAATGGAAGGAGAACGTGAGTGCGGATCTGACCCGCGAGGGATTGCGCAGCTATCTAAGGCTCTGCTCCGCCGGCGGAAGCACCAAGCACGAGGCAGACATCCAGACCCGCAGGCGGGACTATCTCTCGCACTTCATTCTACGGCTGGCCTACTGCCGCTCTGAGGACCTTGCACGCTGGTTCGTGGCCCGCGAAATGGAGCTTTTTCGGTACAAATTCGCCGCACTTAGCAGCGCCGAGGTGAAGCAGTTCCTTGAGGCCAACGGCTTCGAGATTCATCCCCTAAGCGAGGCCCAGAAGGACGAAGTCAAGGACGGCCTGTACGAGAGCACGGCGGGGCAGAGCGTGGCCAAGATCGAGCTGTTGGACTTCTACAAGGTGCCCTTCACCCAGGTGCTGGATCTGGTGCGAGGACGTCGCTGCTACTTAAAGGCTGGCTTCGCCTATGTTAACACCCACGACCTGGTGTCCCTAGTGGGCACCAAGCAGCAGGATGAGATCGAGCAAGGCCTGCAGGCTGCTAAGACTATGGTGGATGATGTAGAAGCTGACGAGCGCATCTCTCGCACGCTGAAAGCTCTACATAACTCTTATACCGGCAGGGATTACACCGTATGTCGGGATGCAGCGATTCCCATCGAGTCCCTCGATCAGCTCTCCAAGACCTCCATGCCTTTGTGTATGCGTATGTGCCACGAGCACATTCGCGCTCAGCATCATATAAAACACAACGGCCGAATGCAATACGGCCTGTTTATCAAAGGAATTGGTGTTACGCTGGAGGATTCGCTGCGCTTCTGGCGCGAAGAGTTTACCAAAAAAATGGACGCGGATAAGTTCGCACGCAGCTACGAGTACAACATTTACCATAACTACGGAAAAAAGGGTTCAATGGTCAACTACACGCCCTATTCGTGCGCCAAGATCATCAAGGATGCGACGGGGCCGGGCGATTGCCATGGTTGTCCGTATAAGTACATGGATCAGGGCTCGTTGAAAACCAAGCTGTCCTCCTATGGCCTGTCAGCCAGCGCCGTCGATGAGGTGATGTCCTTTGTGTCCCGCGGTCACTATCAAATTGCATGCGGAAAGTACTTCCAAATTACCCACAATTCAACCGTCGAGCCAACCATCATTCACCCCAACAACTACTTCGAGGAGAGCCAGATAACAATGGGCAACCGACAGAAGCGCACCAATGGTCCTGCTTTGCCCAAGGCCAGAATCAAGGATATCAAGGGCCATGGGGATCGGTCCATGCTGATGGGCGAGGATGACGATGAGTTGTGGCGAATTGCGGAAACCCAAGAGCGCATCATGCAGAGCCAAAAGGACATATCAGAGGCCTTTAATGACGATCTAGATCTTACGCAAATCGATTACTAATCGTTGTGCAACATATAGTAACTAAGGTACATACTTAAGCATCGTAAATAAGAAGAATTAGAGCTAATCTATGATTCGACTTTCACTCCTGGCATAGATAGCACGTTTTTAATCTCTGATCAATTGTTTCTCTCGAGTTTCGGCCGTAAGGAGGCCAGCTATTAACATCTACGTAGTAAATGCCCCTGGCTTGCCGATTAATTTTATAGCCCATCGGGGAAATTTTGCCAGCAGAACAATCCCGTTTTCTGAGCTTATCCCAAGAAGCGCACTTGTTGCCTATGAAGTTCTTCTCCTGGTGTGGATATGCACTCTCGGCGAAATACTCAACCGCTCTGGTATGGGAGCACCCGATGGTTAGGCAGCCCGGCTGGAAGGGATGTGCTCCACCGGGATAAAAGTCCACATCCCCAAGGGGTCCACGCTTGGCGAGAATACCAATGTTTGTATGGATTATGTCCACTAGCTTGGCATCGCCTCGCGTTAGTCCTGGCAGGATATTTTCCCGCCTGAAACAGGGTTTGGCCGGATCCAAGCCAGTTATCCTGGGGATAAGTTTTCCTGTAAGCTTCGTAAAAGTGCGACCAGCAGTGCCCATAATGTGAGCTCCCAGTGAATGTCCTACAAAGAAATCAGAACCAGAATTTATAAAGCCTAAGGATTCGTTTGTGAACCCACCAATTAAGTGAATATTGCGAAGTGGGGTCAGCTCTATAAGGTGGGTCAGACCAACTCCAATATGCTCGCCAATTAAATCCGTGTTCAGCGCCGACCAGGAGTAGAGGGTGTCCACATAGTCAGCTGCATCTACAATCTTAAAAAGGCAAATTCAGATTTCTATATACTTTCAAAATTGATCCACTGGACGAACCACAAAATTCACATCGCCACGACACATGAATGCCTTGGAGATCATCGAAATGGCCGAGGATTCGTTTACGGTGTTTGTCCATCCGGTGGCCAAAATGACCACCTTGCGTCCTTTGCTGAACCTAGAGTGCTTCCACAGCTTCGAGGCCTCCAGCAGAGGCACACTGTAGTTCTGGCAGGGCGTCATATACTGAAAATGCATCTTCCTTATGTCCGGAGTGATTTGCGGAGGGATTCTGTCCATAAAGAGGGTGGAGGAGCCTGGCATTCAGTTCACAGTAAGATACAGCTTTTTTTAATAAACACGTGAAGTTATCCTTACACACAGCATCAATTACGTTGGAGGCCAATTCAAGTGGAGTAGCTGTGAGTATGTTCGCCTTAATGGTAACGATGTCAGTCAAAAGTCGGGGCACTGAATCCCACCAACTCCTCGTCGACTTGCCCTTTTCATCTGCAGCTATATCTCCGAGTGCTCCGAGGCGTAAGAGGATAACAATTGCACACAAAATCCGCATATCCCGAGTGCACTTTACTACACCGATGCTGGAACTAGTTTAAGTTTTGCAAGTATGGGAATTAACGCTAGGCAATCGGCCATTGTTCGGTGATGTTATTGTTCCCAATCTGAACCCAAAAATATTGTTTACATACCCACTGAAAAATTCATACACTGAGTAAATGAGAGTGTTCCAGTTATTCATTAAAAAGTCATGTTTTCTTAACCCAAATGTTGAGCAGGCCAAGTTTAAGTTACGAACTTATTATGTGCAGATTTTTGTTTAGTTCGCTATCAGCCTTTCTCCAAAAAGGTTAAAAAAGTTTCATCTTATTTATCAAATAGGCTTAAAAAAGGTACATCTTTAGATCTTAACTTAGAAAAGAAAACTTGTAGCTAAGCGCCATACAGTTTTGATATGTCTTCGTATTGCACGTTGTCTACAATTCTGCCTTTAAGGGGACCGTGCAATATCTCCACGCTGACTGAATATTTACGCTCGTCCAGTTTCCTTAGCAGAGCCTCGGATCCGCGATAAGCGCCATTCACCACCATAACAGGTTTGTCCAAAGCGGGAATGACCGTCTCCAAATGAGCCTGGAAAATAAAAAACTTGGGTAAATATCTAATATTAGCTATACTAGGTTTTCCATCTTACTTGATCCACTTTTAGCTTTTCACCAGTGTCCAGGAACTTGATTTTGGCTTGATATTTGTCAATTACCTCTTGGACAACCGCTTTTTGTTTGAAGAACTTGTCGCCCATGGATTTGGAAATGAATTTAACCACGATATCTTTGTGCAGCCAGTAGTCCTTGCGATTGGCACGCTCCTTTTTGCCCTCCTCTTGCTTGATAATCTCGTCCAGCACCGACCGGGTTTGGCTGTCTCCAGCCACTGATTTTGGTTTCTTGAACACTTTTTCTTCAACTTCAGAGGCTGGTCGCTTGGTTAGAGCGGATTTCCCCAGCACACTGTCAGGCTGGAACTTTTTCTCAAGGCGAATATCAAGCTTAAGTGGTTCATTCTCCTCGCGCTTGAGCTCGGTGAACTTCTCTTGGCCTTCGTCCTCCTCGCCGTCCTTGGCCTTGGCTTTTTTAATCTGCTGCTCAATGAAGTCGGCCATGCGTTCCTCGTCGTCCTTCTCCATCTTCTCCTTCCGATCAGCCTTCGCCTGGCGTTCCATGGCCTCAGGACTGCGATCGATGTAGGTGACGAACCAGCCCTTCTCCGTCTCATCCGCTATCACTTGACCAGTCCGGCCAAGCCACTTTACGTAGTCGGACAGGGTGAGCCACCGCGTTGCGTTCATGTGAATGTGCTCCTTGTGGGCAATGTACTCCTGGTAGATCTTGTTGGCGCTGGTTCGCTTCGTGCCAAACCGCCGGCGCAGCAGCTCCATGTAGCCGTCGGAGAACTCCTTGCTGAAGCTGTGCAGGAATTTGCCAGGATTGTCCGCAAAGAGGAGTAACTGGCGCTGGTGTGACTCGCTCATCGTGTGGCACTTGAAGCCGTTTTCATCGCGGCACTGCTTCTCGCACATCTGGCAGTACCAGCGCAGCTTCTGCAGGCCCTTCGACTTCATCTTGTTGGCCAGGTACTTGGGAGTACCCACCTCGGCACGACCCATCCTGAAGCCTTTTTATGTGTCTGGTTTTACAAATTATTTCGCTACAAAAACGTATTGTTTTGATTTCACATCTAGGTATGACCGTGCTGTGCTATTTTAATATTACTCCTGACAACTTTTATCGATAGTTATTGCCGGAGGGTAGTTGGTGTGACCAGGTTTTCATTATTAGTTAACAGCGGTAGAATAATAATTTTTTAAATTTATCATAAATTTGTTGAAAGATTCTTATTTAGTCATTTAAAGTATTACAGTTTTAATTGGGTTTACATTATAAAGGCATTTTTATTTGTCACAAAGTAAAAACTTCAATGAAATACATAATTGTAATACATCAATATCCATTAATTAGTTTACTTCACATAGAAATATTAAAATACCCTATCAAAGGATAATGTTCTCTCCCAATCTCTCTATTTCATCTAAAATGAAGTCCAACTCTTCGCTTTTCAAGATGGGGAAACAAGTGAAGACCATGCGGAAGAAGTTACCCAGATTTTTTGCTTTAAGAGGAGAGTAACCAATCATCAACGTGCCACTGTGGGCCATTTGCTCCTTAATTTTCGGGGCCACCTTTAAAAAAGGATGTCAAAATGTGTCTTTAAATAGTCTATAAAAGTGAATAACAACTTACAGTATAAAGTAGATTCCACCACTCAGGGGTTTCCTCCTGGCTGGACACCCTCATTGATTTCGGAATGAACCAAAAGCAGACATTGGAGTACTCGTGCTCCTGGAGCACCAATCTGAAGCGATCTCCCCGCTGACGCAGCTTGCTTTCCAGCAATCTGGCGATTTGGATGGCGTGGTCCACCATGAGTCCATACTTCCCATATCCGCGAGCTTTAAGCATTAGCCAGAACTTGAAGGCGTCGATCTTCCGGCCGCACTGGACACTCTTGTTTCCCGTATCGTAGGAGACATCATAAAACTTATCCTGCTGGAACAAGTAGTGCGCATCCGTGCTGTTGCACCTTTCCAGCAGACGGTCTGATTCCCTGGTTACAAACAGCGAACACTGCAGAGGAGCACCGATGGTTTTGTGCGGGTTCCACGAAAAAGAGTTTGCCCGCTCGATGCCGGCAATTAGCGATCGGTTCTGGGTGGAGAGCAGTGAAGCCCCTCCCAGACAGGCGTCCACGTGAAGCCACAGACCATGTCGTTCCGTCACATCCGCTGCACCATTGATATCATCAAAAGCACCCAGTACAGTGGTGCCTGCAGTACAGTTGACAAAGAACGGTTGTCCACCACGGGCCTTTGCCTCTGCGATCTTCGTCTCCAGATCGTCCAGCAGCATCTGCCCCCGCTCGTTGGTCCTCACCGACACACAGTTGTCGCTGCCCAATCCCAGCCAGTTGGCCGCCTTCACGAAGCTATAGTGCGATTCGTCGGAGGTAAACAGCACCAATGGTCGCATCCCAAACATTCCAGATGTTTTCACCCCAGGAGCGATCTTATAGCGGGCCAGAACCATTCCGTACATGTTGGAGGTGGAGCCTCCGGGCGCAAAGATGCCATCGCCTTCCTTGTATCCTGCCAACTTGCAGATGGTCGAGATGACTTCAGTTTCAATCAAGCTAAACACGGGTGCAACTTCGTAGGTGTATCTAAAATAAAAGTTATATATGAAATATATGTCATGATGGATGGATGATGGTAGTAATATGATTAAATATTACATAAAGTTAAGGTAATCTAATCTAAATGGTTAATAACTTGCAATGATCATTTATGGATTGTTTTTAAACCCATGTAGTTAACATGGAAAGTGGGTTATAAAGCATAGTACTTTGCTATCTCCATTACATTAGCACAATTATCTGTACGTTGAACCCCGCCACCACTTGTAGATTAAAATGCAAGATGCAATCAGCTCATATAGACACAAGTGCGGAATAATGCTGCGGACTTACGAGCTGCCGTTCATGGCCTCGGTGATCAGGGCTCCTGCCAATCCAAATGGGTCCAACTGCCCAAAGAGCTGATTGTGGAAGCGCCCGTGCGAGGTTTTCACAGAGTAATGGATCACCTGCTGGCATATCTCTTCGATCTCAGCGAGCGAGCAGTCTTCCGTCTCCCGGATCTTCAGATTAATCAGTTCCTGAAAATGATGGTGCAAAATCATGTATCCACTCTACGCTCGATTGTCATAAAACAGCGACCCTTATAATACAAAAAAGAAAAGGCAGCTGAATACTACAAGAACAAACATATCTCAAATATGTTTTCTGTCGAATATCACACCTAGTTACTTAAAGGTTTTATTCAAAGTAATACCCATACCCAGAAGAAACCTATCACAATCTATAATACAACAAACAATTCAATTACAATAATTCAAGCAATTAAAACTATCAGATGACTAGGCAATCAATTAGGAAGTGCTGGTGTCAATTTACCCTTTGTCCATCCAAACCATTATTTCGCTATAATTTGCCGCCGGGTGGTCAAGTTTCGAATTGAACTCTCCTATTAATCTGCTTGCTTGTTATCTCCACATCGGCAGACGCCGCATCGTCTATCACTTGTTCACTCACCTTCAGTTTGTCTGGCTGCAAAAAGGGGACTATCTTCTGCTTTCCCCATTTCTGGGGATCTACGCAGAAGGTGTCCGCTTTCTGGAGAAGGTGGAAAACGTTCTCAAGGATATTCCAGTCGTCCATGAGGCCATCGCGAATCTGGTCAACAGTCTCCGTGCCATCCACTGATTCAGCCATATCTCTCGTAAAAGTTCCCGTATCTCAATTGGCCAGTAAAAAAGCGATTATTTTGGGCTTTCCAGATCCGAACCTCATTCGTCCACGATTCAATTAGAAGTGCCCGGTCTGACTGCAGCTGATTGTGTTTTAACGTTCTCTGCTTCAAATTCTCATTAAGTTGTAAACCCACGTCTTTGCTCGCACTCAAATGGAGGTACAAGCAAGAGAGAATGCTATAGTCGAGTTATCCGACTATCAGATACTCGTTACTCACTTAGTGGAAGTGCGAACGAGAAATCTATAGAAATTTACAAGATATATAAAATAAATTACAATTTTCATCGAATTTTTCAAAAGTGCGGGTGTAACAGTATTGGGCGCTTGTGGGCGTTAGACTGGGCGTGGCAACATTTGGAAATAAACTCCCATAAAATCTCCATGCCTAATCCCAACATTCTAGCGATCTAGTTCCTGAGATCGAGGCGTTCATACGGACAGACGACCAGTTCGACTCGACTATTGATCCTGATCAAGAATATGAACTTTATATGGTCGGAACGCTTCCTTCTGCCTGTTACATACTTTTCAACGAGTCTAGTATACCCTTTTACTCTACGAGTAACGGGTACAATGATCGGAGTAAAAATACACATACAGATCCACACTTGTGCTCTTTAGAGTGAACCTCATTTTATTACGAAATATAAATAAAAAAGAAGAGAATAATAAAAACGTGCATCTGTAAAGAATCTGTAAGCATTATACACGTATCAGGTTTGGATTACTTGAAAGCAAAATTATGATTAAATAAGAACGTACCTTATTAGCTAAGGGCTAGCTAATTGGTCTTTTCTCCTAACCAATGTCCTGTATAATTATCGTTTTCTTTTCATCTTGACGCATTATCTTCAAACCCCAAGCCAAACCCAATCACAAAATTAACTTACACTACCGATTAAACAAGATTTATGTTTACAGTGCATGTCACCAGAAATCTTGGTCAAGTCAGCTAATTGGAAGCCTAACACTAAAGAACTTTGCTGAGCTTACTTTTTGGAGGTCTGGTTGTAAGATTTCGTAATTTGCGTTACAGAATCTCTTTTACTTACAGATACTCGCTCGGCATTGCGGCTCAGAAACAAGTTTCACCTCACCAGATGTATCTATCCGATTCCTAGATGCAAATCTCAAGCGCAAAACAAGTGCTAGTGCTTGTAGTTGTTGTCCACGTGCATCGGCAACTAATCAATTGGGAATCTTGTAGTAAACTGTTTCCAGTGTGCCTGCAAATAGAAAGTACAAAATGAAATGCCCATTTCACTTTACTTTCATTGTTGTACTGGAAGTACTCCGAGTGGCTACCATCATTTTTTCATAGCCAGAAGATGCCAGGGTCGGAATTTTATCTCGTTCAGTTCAAAGCCCGTGCTCAAATTATAATGGAATGATAAAAACTCACAAATACAATTCTCCTTATAGCAAAAACTATAGGAAACAGAGCGTATTGTCTATCAATCAGATTTATATAGCAACAATTGTTTAACCAGCATTTTAGTCGCCCGGAAAATATGAACAAATTATAATTTTGTTCACGTAAAACGGTAGCATTTTAATATGTATTCCTCGATTTAACATTATATCGTTTGTATTTATATGCATTATTTTAAATTTTACTTTTTTCGCCAACAACGTTAAAATGGAAGAAGGTTTGTGTGTTTTTTCGTATTATTAAAATATTCTATTTGATTTTCCTGGTTTTATGTAGTTGCAGTTGCAGTTCAGTTGGGGTCGACGGTAGTAGCAAAATCATTTCTACACAAACATTTTCTAGTAATCATCTAGATCGAAGCAGTCATTGTCCAACTCATCGAGCTGCATACTCTGGAAGTCCACCTTGTAGCGTAAGATACCTGCAGAGGCACAAATTGATTGAATTAAATTAAAATGAAAAGTAAGAAACAGGAACAGAAGCAGATATTGAAAATTAAATAAAAAGGAAAACACCAAAACACAGATAATTCAACTGAACATCAGAATCTCACCTTCTTTGTATTTATTTAACTTTTCATTGACTAATCAATATATTTGACACGAAGCCCGTGGTTTTACTTCGCGACTGAATATAAACGGATACCCCATCCTTATTATGTGTGGCGTTTTTATTCTGGTTTAATTTTTATTACAATTTTATGGATTAGATTTGTATACTTTCTTATAACACTCGGTTGTAATTTGAATAGGGGAAATGCAGATACGTTCGAAAGTGGCATGTTCACCGAAGATCTTTAGCTCCTAAAACCGCAGTCAAAATCGCACCAGATAAACGGAGAATGCGATAATATCTCTTTTACATGACACTTGAATTACGAATTACGAGTACGAAATACGAATTTAATTTGCTGCTTAAGAGTAACCTCGCACTCGGTTCCGCCTGGTGCACGACTAATTAAAAAATTTGGTAAAACGTATAGGTACATATCTAGATACACGATGATCTGATCGACAAGAAAATGCACCATCCGACTGATGGGGGACCCTATTGGTGATAAATATTGAACGGCTACGCTGAACATAGGTAAAACTATGTGGCAAGTAAATTGGTTCCTAATCAATTTGAACGTTTTGCTTTACGAGGTTTCCCAAAAAGTACTGCTTTATTATGTATGTAACGCATAATCGAGACCCGTTTGCAGCCCACCAGGCTTAATAGTCATCGAGATCGACGTCCTCCAGCGGCTCATCGGCCTGTAGGGATTGGAAATCTACTTTATAGCGCAAAATGCCTACATTTCGAATTGAGATACCAATTTGCAATTCAACATTTACATTATAGCGTTGATGACCGTGTGAAAGCAGCATGAGGGAAGAGGAATCGATATAGTTGCAACATTTGTTTAGTACAATATCAATCTACAACTAGCCAGCCATTCTGTGCTATGGAGATGGTTGAGCTTCGAAACTTACCGCCGATTCCACCGAAACCTCGCACGAACTGACTTCCCTCCTGGGACTTATCCGTGATAATCTCCAGTGTGGCGCCGAACATTTTGTAGTTGTTTGCCAGCCATTCCAGCAGCGGCTGAGACTCAATCAGCTCCATTTCTACCCCGCTCTATTCAATTAAATTCCCAGTTAGCGTGCGAATTAGGATCGTTTTTCAATTTAGAGCTCACCTCCTTGTCAGTGAAGTGCGACTTGTCCTTTTCCTGCTCGGGCGTCAAATGTAATACTGTCGTTGACGTCGAGTTGGCATGATTCTTGAGAACATAACGTTGAATATCCAGATTCTCCCAACAAATTAGGGTCTCCACAGAGCCAAGTTCCAGTGCCCGCAAAGTGTCCTCCACTCCGAAACAGTATTTGCCAGTATCCTATTGAATATAGTAAGCATTGCATGTGGTTTTTATTTTAAAAATTCTCCAGAACTCGTTTGGGTAACTCACCTGAGAAATTTCATCAAAGTAACGACCAATGAGTTTCTTCTCCTGTATGAATTTAACGTTCTGCAATGACTCGGCTGCCAGTTCAATGGCCTGGTTAAAACCGTTTTCCCCACCATAAGACACGTCCACCAGCTTGATGACTTTTGATTGCAAACGCTGGAAACAAATTCAAGTCTAAGACTTAATGGCATCAAGGGAAATAGGTTAACTCCCACTTACAGGATCGAACATATCAGACTGACTGAGCTCAGTCTTGAAGTCCGCACTACCTGCCAGGATGAGTCCGGCAATGTTGGGCTTGTCGTTCGTGATGAAGAGCTGGGTGGCCACCTCGGCGACCTTCCGCACGTAGTTGTGGCGCTTCTCCATACGCAGACGGGCGAAACGAAGGGCGGACTGACCACCACGGCCGTGCTTCTTCGGCAGATCGACGGTGAACTTGTGGAGCACCTCGCGGGTGTTGCCCTGAAGGGTACCGAACAGCGCTCCATTACCGTCCATTACGATGAATCCGAATTTGTTATCGTCGGCGAGCAGGGCAGTGAGAGCCTCCGTGTGGAACTTGTTGTCGCAGAGGTAGAGCGACGTGTTGATGGGCTTGAATGGCTCAAAGTCTATGTTCACCTTCTTCTCCTTGCCCTCCTCTGTGACTATTGTGCCGCAGTAGATGACCAAACCGTTGGGAGGCACTAAAATGGAGCAGGTGGTACGGATTAGAGTCTGATTGCGTGGAATTTCTGAGCTCAGCTTACCTTTGGTGTATAATTTGAGTCTGTGCTGTACCGACGTAATGGCACCAAGGACGGACAGACGATTTACACGCGACTTGATGTTCGACGCCGTTCCAAACTCATCGGCCAACATTTTGCTGACGCGCGAGATTTGATCCTTTGGTGGAATAATCAAAGAAATCATGCTGGTTCCATTGCTGCAAGACAACCAAACAAGGAAAAAAGTGAGTCGCGGAAATGGTTCTTTTCCAGCCATAGCAACAGTGCTACACAAACATACATATTCACGCCTCAGTTGCATATTATAACCTACTTAAATTTATTTAATTGGCCTTGAAATGTTGTCCCATATGTACATACATACATACATTTGTATAAGGAATCTTTTAAACTTGACATTCGGCTTTTGATCTACATTTTTGAAAATGCTCTGTAGTTTCCACAGTTTGAGTAAATACTTTTATTTTAATTTATACTTTTAATTTTCTTGTGTTATGTGAAAAGTGTTAATGCAAAAGGTGATAGAAACAAAAACATTTTTTTTCCTGATTTCCAAGGTATAAAACTCGTTTCTCGTTCGGTGTAATACAGAGGTGTGCCCAATCGCAATTTGTAAATATTGTTAGAATGTAAACTACAACGATGACTAAGGAAACAAAATAAAAAGCAAGGAACTTAAATATTAATTTAATATTAATTTCGCATTTAGCTGAAAACCAATAGAATGATAGCTGTGCAAAACGAATACCAATTGGCAACAGTCGCCAACTCCAATTGGAAGATGCGTTGTGTTGGCAAGATATTCACAAGATATACATATATGTCCATATAGAGTAGATATGCTCCTGCGGTTGTCACTCGATTTGCATACCTTGTTACTCACACTGAAGCGGTAAGGACCTGGTTTAGGGAGTGAGAGGGGGGGTTCGCAAAGATTGGCCCATTTCGGGGCAAAACACACACACATGCACGCATACGCACAACGGCCACGAGGCGATTACTCACTCACTCTCTTTCTCTCATTCAGTCTAGTTTGAACTGATAAAAACTCGACAAAAACGTGT